CCTGCCGCCAACCCCATCTCCCCAACCCCATTTTCTCCCTTGTTATTTATTTATTGAGTCAGATTCTCCCTTTGTCATCATTTTCTCCATTTTATTTTTTTATTCAGAGTCGGAGTCTCACTTTTTCGCCCAGGCTGGAGTTCAGTAGCACACTCATGGCCACTGTAGCCTTGACCTGCTGGGCTCAGGCAATCCTTTCACTTCAGCCTTCCAAGAAGCTGGAACTACAGGCATGTGCTACCACACCTGTCTAATTTTTTGATTTATTGTAGGGACGAGGTCTCACCATGTTGCGTAGGCTGCTCTTGAACTCCTGGGCTCAGGCAGTCCTTTCGTCTCCACCTCCCAAAGTGCTGGGATTACAGGCATGAGCTACCATGTCTGGCCTATTCTCCCTTGTTTTAGGAGATCTACTGGCCCCACGCCTACTTAGCTTGTCACTGAGCTCTCTGTTCTGTGTCATTCAAGATTGTATTCTTTCCAAACAGAATAATCCCAGTGATTTGAGATTTTCATTCTGGACTGTAATAGAAGGTATCCATATTACATGCAGAGCATTTTAAAAATAAGAATTTACCAAAAGAGAAAAGAAAGTAAGTAAGAGTTCAGATTTGAAGTGTGGTTGGCGAATCCTTAGACATATTCTACAGGACTTTAGAAAGATAGTTCTAACTTTTTACATTTTCTTTTTCATTTTATTTTTTTGAGTCACGGTCTCCCTCTGTCACCCACGCAGGTGTGCAGTGCACACTTATGGTCACTGCAGCCTCGACCTACTGGGCTCAGGCAATCCTTCCGCCTCAACCTTCCAAGTAGCTGGAACTACAGGCATACCACCATGCTCGGCTAATTTTTTGATTTATTGTAGAGATGAAGTCTCACCAAGTTGCCCAGGTTGGTCTTGAATCCTTGGGTTCAGACAATCCTCTCGCCTCCGCCTTCCAAAGTGCTGGGATTACAGGAGTGAGCCATGGCATTTGGCTTTTTTTTTTTTTTTTTTTTTGAGCCAGTTTCTCACTCTGTTCCCCAGGCTGGAGTGCAGTGGCATGATCACAGCTCACCACAACCTTGACCTCCCAGGCTCAGGCAATTCTTCTGCTTCAGCCTCCTGAATAGCTGAGACTATAGGCAAGTGCTACCACACCTGGCTAATTTTTTTTTTTTTTAAAGATGAGGTCTTGCTATATTGTTCAGACTGGTCTTGAACTCCTGGGTTCAAGCAATCCTCCTGCCTCAGCCTTCCAAAGTGCTGAGAATATAAGCATGAGCCACTATTCCTGGCTTTTTTACATATTTTTAGTTGGAATCACCAGGGTCACTTGTCTATGTTCTGTCTCATTGGCTTGTTACCACCACTCAGATGTCCATTACTTTGTGGTGACTTGGCCTTGAGAAGCTCGAAGGACTTAGCCATGTTAGTCTCTCCACATCCCTTCAAGGGAGGCAGTGGCCAGGCTGAGGCTTGTTGGACTAGGAGGAGAACATGACTACCTGTCCTGGGGACAGAAAGCCTCGGGCGCTTCTGGGTCTCCTTCAGGCCGGGGACCAAGCTCTGCCCCTTTGGCAGAGTCAGGGCAGAGGTGAAGCAGCAGCAGTCTTGGGTAGTGAGGCAGTTGGGGATCCAGGACAGTCACCCATGGGTCACCTAACCTAACCCCGTGGCTGTCCCTCCTTCTGTCTTCCAGTGGTTCCCTCTTGGCCTCTGATTATATGCCGGCTCCCTTGGGGCCTCCGGGGTATACCCCTAAGGGGACCCCAACCCTCTCAGCCACCATGACTCTGCTTTCTTCAGTAGCTGCTCAGCCAGCCTCACTGAACCAAGCACCGTTCCCCATCTCCCACTGGCCTCTTCTGGAATATTCTTTGCCCTGCCCCCATCTTCCTGCTCATCTTGGCTGGACTGAGGCGCCCCTTGCTCTGGAAGCATCTTCCTTGCACTCCCTGTCCATGATATGTACCCCTTACACCCTGGGCTTCTCAGATGTCAGCTTACCTGTTCCCGCATAGACTGTGGCAGCTTTTTGGGGACAGGGGACAAGCTGTCACAGTGACTAGACTGCCTCCAGCTCTGAGCTCTGGGCGTGTCGCAGATCAGAGACTTGTCAGTGTGAGTTGGAACACGTTCAGCTCCAAGCAGATGAATGGGGAGGTGGGGGCGGGGGGACTGCATGGAAGCCCTGTACAGGGTCTTGCACCTCCATTGGAGCTCTGCATCCCGCCACTGGCTCTCACTGCCCGCTGCCCGGCAGCACACACTGACTGTGCCCTGGCCTGAGGCCAGGCTTGGGGCACGGGGCAGGGAGGCAGGAATGTGGATGGACGCTGGCTGCCAAATGAACTGTGTGTAGTGCGCCCTCTGGAATGAGGTGGAGTAAAGCAGGGCCCCTGTGAGCATGGGTGCTCTAGCCTGGCTTCTCAAGTGTAGTGTGTGGACCAGCTGAATGGCGTCTCTGGGTGCCGGTTAGAAATGCAGCCCATTGACTGGGCATGATGGTTCATGCCTGCAATCCCAGCACTTTGGGAGGCTAAGGCAGGAGGATCTCTAGAGCCCAGGAGTTCCAGACCAGCCTGGACAACATAGTGAGAGCTCATCTCTACAAAAAATAAAAAATGAGCCAGGCACAGTAGCCTGCACCTATAGTTCCAGCTACTTGGAAAGCTGAGGCAGAAGGATCGCCTGAGACCAGGAGTTTGAGTCTGCAGTGAGTTATGACTGTGCCACTCTACTCCAACCTGGGAGACAGAGTGAGACCCTGACTTTAAAAAAAAAAGAAAGGAAGGAAGGGAGGGATGGAGGGAGGAAGAGAGGGAAGAGAGGAGGGGAGTGAGGGACAGAGGAAGGGAGGAAGGGAGAAAGAAAGGAAGAAAGGAAAGGAAAAAAGGAATGGGAAAGAAGGAAGAGAAAGGAAGGAAGGGAGGGAGGGAGAGAGAGGGAGGAAGGGAGAAAGAAAGGAAGAAATGGGAAGGAAGCCCATTAGACCCTGCCAGTCCTATATCTCAACAAGACGCCAGGGGAGTCATGGGCAGTAGAATTTAGAGAAGGTTGTGCCCACGAGGGAGCAGTTGAGTTGGGTCTTAGCGGAGGGCAGTACCCAGGGCACATGAAAGGAGGGGGGTGTTTGAGGCTAGGAGGGTGTGGGGCTGGGAAAGAAGTTGCTGGTGAAGTTTGTGTAAAAATAAATGTTTCAGGCCGCGTGCAGTGGCTCCCACCTATAAATAATCCTGGCACTTTGGGAGGCTGAAGTGAGAGGATTGCCTGAGTCCACGGGTTCGAGATCAGCCTGGGCAACCTGGTGAGACCTCATCTCTACAATAAATCAAAAAATTAGTCAGGCTTTGGTGGCACATGCCTGTAGTTCCAGCTACTTGGAAGGCTGAGACAGAAGGATTGTCTGAGCCCAGCAGGTTGAGGCTATGGTGGCTGTGAGTGTGCCAATGGACTCCAGCCTAGGCGACAGAGTAAGACTCTGACTCAAAAAAAAAAAAAAGAAAGAAAGAAAAGAAAAAGAAAGTAAACGTTTCTGACTTTTTTATGAGCAGAATTTTGCCAGAGTTATTGGGTCCATCTTCTAAAGGATCTGGCTTGGTTACCTCTGCATATAACAGATCTGGCACTTTCCATCACACAGACACAGGCACAACTTCCTTCCTTACAGGCAGCCACTGCAGTTAGAGCACTGGGCAGGGAGTCCAGACAAGGAAATTTGTTTGTGGTTTTGCTTATGACAAAGCTGTAGGATCCTGACCGAGCCACTTTCCAAAATGATGATTTTATTGTTCCTGATTTTGTGGGTCGGGAACTGGGGCACAGCTCATCTAGGCAGTCCTGGCCCGGGCAGCATTAGCTGGGGTCACTCACTCGGTGGTGGTATCTCCGGGTTGGGCTAGAAAGTCCAGTGAGGCTTCATTCATATCTGGCACCTCAGTGCTTCCCTACCTGGCCTCTGGCCCTCCACATGGCTAGCTTGCAGTGGTGCAATCATAGCTCACTGCAGACTTGAACTCCTGGCCTCAAGCAGTCCTCCTGCCTCAGCCTCCCAGAGTGCTGTGATGACAAGCATGAGTCACTGCACTTGGCCTTTGCAAGGTCTCTTAAGATCAGAACTGACACATCATTGTTGCACTCTATCGATCCAGGTAGTCATTATCCCTGCCTAGATTCAGGGGGAGGGAAATGGTCCCCATCTCTTGGTGGATGGGGCGGCTCACAAGTGCAGGGGGAAAGGAACTGATTGTGACCATCTTTGAGGACTATTGATAAGAGTCTCCTTCCTTTTTGTTCCTCTATCCTCAGTAAATGCTTCCACCTCATGGTCCAAGGTCGCTGTTGGCGCTCTAGACAGCAGGAAGAAGCAAAGGAGGAAGAGGGCACTGTTCTTTGCCCCTCAAAGGTTCTGGCTCACCGTAGCCTTGAACTCCTGGGCTCAAGTGATCTTCCCACCTCAGTTCCGAAGCAGCTGAGACCACAGGCGTGTACTACTGTGCCTGGCTAATTTTTTTATTTCTTTTTTTTTTTAGATGGAGTCTTGCAATGTTGCTTGGGCTAGTCTTGCATTCCTGGGTTCAAACAATCCTCCCGCCTTGACCTCCCAAAGTGCTGGGATTACAGGCATGAGCCACCATGCCTGCTAATTTTTTTTGAGATGGGGTCTCATTATATTGGCCTGGCTAGTCTTGAACACCTGGTCTCAGGTGATCCTCCCGCAGACCCTCAAGGAAATTTGTTTCATCACATGGCCATGCCTGGCCGTAAGACTGTTGTAAGACAGTATGCCCAGCTAGAAATCAGGGGTCTGCTCTAAGGAAGAAGAAGAGATGAAATTGGGAGGAGCTGCCCCTTGCTGTCGCACCCTCCCCAAAGCTAAAAACTGCCTAAAATTCTCAGGGGTGGAAGCCCTAGGCAGGGCAGGCCTGGAGACCCAGGGAGTGGGTCTGTGCGTGAGCCCACTGGGACGTGCCCACCTGCACGGGACGCTCACGCCTCTCTCTGCCCCCAGTTCACCACAGGCACGTGCAGCGACTCGGTGGTTCACAGCTGCGACCTGTGCGGCAAGGGCTTCCGCCTACAGCGCATGCTCAACCGTCACCTCAAGTGCCACAGCCAGGTCAAGAGGCACCTGTGCACCTTCTGTGGCAAGGGCTTCAACGACACCTTCGACCTGAAGAGGCACGTCCGCACGCACACAGGTGAGGAGGGGCAGACGGGTGAGGAGGCAACACTGGGGGGCACGCAGGTGAGGAGGGGCCCTGGGGGGGGCGTGTAGGTAAGAAGGGGGCACAAAGGTGAGGAGAGGACCAGGGAGGTGAGGGGGGCAGGCAAGCGAGGAAGGGGCCCGCAGGTCAGGAGGGGACGTGTGCTTGCTCTTGGTTTTGTTTTCTGGCCAAGAGTTCCGGTTTTTTTCCCACCAAAGAACCAAATCCAGGGCATGGAGCAGTATCATATTTCTGGAAAGAACACAGGATGGGGGATCTGGGGCCAGTCTGTCTGGTTCACCTCCTGACTCTGCCACCAGCCGGCTGCGTAGCTCCAGACTAGGCAAGGCCCCTCTTGTTGCCTGTTTTATTGCCCCTGTGAAATGGAAACAATGACACAGGTTCTAGGGAGGCTAACGCAAAGTCCCTGGCCAGAAGTCACCTGAGAATGGGATGCATGACACATGCAGGGCTTGGTCCTGACTACTGGAATGAGGTTCTTGTGGTCCCTTGTGGTCTCTTTATGATTCTCTCTTGGGAAATATGCCTGACTTGGAATAGCATGGTGTTCCTCCTGAGACATGAAGAAAGCACTTCCTTCGAGCTGGCCCGGCCTCCTCTGTGGGCCTGGTGGGCAAGCGTCTCCCTCTCCTCCAGGCCTCCTCGGTTTTCTGACCTGGGAAGTGTGGGTCTGGTGCGCCCCAGCTCCAGTACACAGAGTCCCGCAGTGCCCCTTGGCTTCCCTTGCAACACTTCTGATTGGCCCCGAGTCTCACTGCTTTTATCTTAGAAACATCTGGCCTCCAGTTCAGCCTGCTTGAGGCCCAGAGCCCACATTTTTGCCATTTCCCTTGAGGGGAATTCTAAGGCTGCTTACTTACGTCTCTGCTAAGAAGTCTCTGGGCCAGGTACTGTGGCTCATGCCTGTAATCCCAGCATTTTGGGATGCCAAGGTGGGAAGATTGCTTGAGGCCAGGAGTTTGAGACCAGCCTGGGCAACATAGTGAGCCCTTGTCTCTACAAAAGTACACAAAAATTAGCTGGCATGGTGGTGTGTGCCTTGTAGTCCCAGCTACTCAGGAGGCTGAGGTAGGATTGCTTGAGCCCAAGAGGTCGAGGCTGTATACTCCAGCTTGGGTGACAAAGTGAGACCCTGTCTCAAAACAACAAAAAACAAGTCTCCAAACTCTGGGCAGAATGAAATCTAGAGTCCTCACCTCTCATCTTAATGGGCTTCCAGTGAAGCCCGCCCACCCTACTCCCCCCCATCCATCTGGGTGCCATCTTCAAAATCCCATCCAGTCCCAGCCTGTCCCATCCCATCATAATGAGCCTGGGATCATCCCACCCCACCCATTCCGACTTACCCTGTCCCATCCTGTTTCTTCTGGTCCTCACCTGGTAGATGCTGAGATCACTCCCCTGACCCTGGTCTCTGGGATGCAGGGAGGGGCCCAGGGAGCTGGCTGACTGTCAGTACTTTCCTTTGGAGTGAATGTGGAGCTGATGGACCCGCCTCCTCTGTGACTGGCTTCATTCTCTGTTGATGGAGATGAGTTGGAATTGGAGGGACAGGCTGCTTCTCAGAGGAGAGATTCTGAGTTGAGTTAGCCACATTGCAGTGAAGACATCCAGATCTGGCTGAGTACAGTGGCTTGTAGAGCAGGTCAGGAAGAGGAAGGAGAGTTCTTAGCTGGGTTGTCCCAGAAGCAGACCCTGATACCAGGACTTGGGTGTGAGCAGTTTATTTGGGAGATGATCCCAGGAGGCACAGTGAGGGCATGGGTAGGGGATGCTGGGGGGAAACAGGCATTAGAGTTCATGATTGGGTGCAATGGCTCATGCCTGTAATCCCAGCATGTTGGGAGGCCAAGGTGGGAGGATTACAGAGCCCAGGAGTGAGTTCGAGACCAGCCTGGGCAATATAGTGAGACTTCGTCTCTATAAAAATTTTAAAAATTAGCCGGGCATGGTGGTGTGCCCTTGTAGTCCCCAACTACTTGGGAGACTAAGGCATAAAGATCACCTAAGCCCAGGAGGCCAAGGCTATGGTGAGCCGTGAGCATGCCACTGCCCTCCAGCCTGGCTGACAGAGTGAGACCCCAACTCAAAAAAATAAGAGGGTGTTACACTGGGCATGGTGGTTCACACCTGTAATCCCAGCGCTATGGGAGGCAGAGGCGAGAGATTGCCTGAGCCCAAGGGTTCAAGACCAGCCTGGGCAACATGGCAAGACCTCATCTCTACAATAAATCAAAAAATTAGCTGGGTGTGGTAGCAAATGCCTGTAGTTCCAGCTACTTGGAAGGCTGAAGCAGAAGGATCACCTGAGCCCAAAAGGTTGAGGCTGCGGTGGCTGTGAGCGAGCCACTGCACTCCAACCTGGGCGATAGAGTGAGACTTCAACTAAAAAAAAAAATGTGTGTTAATACTGAGCAGGTTATTACCATGGGTGACTAGGGCACAGTTCTCCTAGACCCTCTGAAGAACTGTGTAGAACTCAGCCCAGGCTGCCCTGTCATCCCCACCTCTCCTTGCATGGGGTCCATCCTGGGACCCCGATTCCTCAACACTCCTCACCCCTCACCACCCCCAGCCCTTGGCAGGAAAGCATCCTTAGGCAAAGGGATGCAAGGAACCAGCTGAGACAACTTGGGCATCTGCTGAGGCAACTTTGTGGGGCGAGGCAGTGTCTGCCCAGGGAGGTAGAAGAGTTGGCATATGAGGAGGGTGGCTGGGCAGAAGCTGAAGACCCTTCAGAGGGTGACACAGCTTCTTCAGATGGAAACAAACCACACACAGTCACTGTCCCTCATCCCGGGCCTCCTCAGAAAGTCGGTGCTGTTAGGACCCCATACCCTCCTACAGATGAGGAAACCAGGCTCCGGGAGCTCAGAGCACCCCCAAGTGGAGCCCGACCTGGCCTGCCCCGAGTCCTACGATCTTGTTTCTTCTGTAGATCCCCTTGGTGTGGCCCCTCTGGCCCCGGGTCCTTGCTCAGCATTCTCCCTGAGGTTGGGGCCTCACCAGCCCATCCCACTGCAGTTTCTAGAAGTCTGCTTGCTTCTGGAGGAAGGTGAGATATGGGAAACTCAGACCGGGCACAGACTGCACCCTCGGGCTTGGGGTGTCATAGATTGCAGAGGAGCATGTGGGTGCCAAGATGTCATCTGCCCAGGACGTGAGGTGAGGGCAGGCAGGTGAGAGGGTGCCAAGCAGGTGAGGAGGGGACCACACAGGTGAGGAGGGGAGCACTCAGGTGAGGCAAGGCAAGGAGAAGAGGCAGGCAGGTGAGGAGGGGGCCGCATGGGTGAGGAGGAGCAAGGTGGGGAGACAGGCAGGTGAGGAGAGTGCCATACAGGTGAGAGGGCAGGCAGGTGAGGAGGGGGGCAATCTGAGCAAGAAAGGGGGTGGCCTGCACTCCTAAGACGCCCAGCCTCCACTGTTCACTAGGTGGGTGAATAAGACCTTCTACCTGATGCTTTCCCAAAGGTCTGTGCATGCTTACCAACCAGGGGAGCGGCCAGTGCAGGGCAGGCCTGGAAAGGGTAGGTCCTGGAGCTGCCCTGGCTGCATGTGGCGAGTGTCGCTGGTCTGACTGAGGCATGTTGCGAGTGTGAAGCCAGCGTGAGACCTCAAGACTGAAAGCAAACAAGGATGTGAGCGCCTCCGTTTTTCATTTTTCATGTGGATTTCACCTTGAAATAGCAGGTGCTATTTGGACTGTGTTGAGTTAGACAAAACAGATCAAAATTCATCCTACCTGTTTCTTCCTACTTGTTTGACTGAGGCTTCTAGAACATTTTAAATTACAAAATGACTTGCATTTTCATTTCTATTGGACTGTACTGACTAAGATCATTGAAATCTACAGAGAACCGTTCCAAAAAAAAAATTTTTTTTTGAGTTGGGGATCTTTTTCTGTTGCCCAGGCTAGAGTGCAGTGGCACAATCATAGCCTCCACAGCCTCAAAGTGCTGGCCTCAGGCGATCCTCCCACCTCAGCTTGTGGCTGAGACTACAGGCACACGCCACCATGCCCAGCTAATTATTTGTTTGGTTTTTTTGTAGAGAGGAAGTCTTGCTATGTTGCCCAGGCTGGTCTTGAACTCCTGGGCTCAAGCAATCCTCCTGCTTCAGCCTCTCAAATTGCTGAGATTACAGATGTGAGCCATCACACCTGGACGCCTTTAAATTTTTAATCATAATTCTGACTCTTCTAGTGATTAGTAGATAGAATTATGGGAATGTTTTGGGCCTGTTTGCCATGCCCTAACTTTTTTTCTGATGGAAATGTGCCTCTGAATAATAATGAACCACTGCAGTGCTGTGAGCTGGGGGACGGGCCAGCCCCACCATCTGTAGCGCAAAACTTGGGGCTCTCAGATGTCACTTTAGTCCATGTGAACCAGCCTCACTGCCTCTAAGAACGCTCACCAGAATTCAGTGGAAACTGGACCCTGCCTCTGGTGGAGCTGTGAATGCTAGGCTTTTGCTGTTGGCTATTAAATGTTGTATTTAGGTCAAAAACAAAGATAGAGACGCGTAACATAAATACAGCAGACAGTTGAGTAGGGAGGTATGTTTGCTCACAGTACCAATTAGAGCAGGCCATGATCAATCTAAAGGCTTATCTGGGACCCCAGGAGCCTTTGTTGGGGGGTTGTAGCCATAGTATTGATGAAGTGGGTTAGAGAACCAGTGTTCATCCACAGCCTGCAGCCACCCCACCTACCCCTATCCTTTCGTGACCCTTGCAGCTACTGAGCAAACAGGGCATCTCAGGAGAGCCCTGAGGAAAGGCTAGGCGAGGTGGTTTATGCCTGTAATCCTAGCACTTTGGGAGGCCAAGGTCAGAGGATTGCCCAAGCCCAGTGGTTCAAGACCAAGCTGGGCAACACGGCGAGACCTCGTCTCTACAATAAATCAGAAAAATTAACTGGGCATGGTGGTGTGCCCCCGTAGTCCCAGCTACTTGGAATACTGAGGCTAGA